TTACATGGTAGTGAAGAGGAAGAAATTTCAAAGAAAAAATTTAAAAACAATGACAACTCACTAGTGAAATGGAGGAGGTGATTTATAAGCAGCTGAATGAATCAAAAGGATTCAAATAACTAACTGAGCTCAAAGAAAATTCAAAGAAACAGATGGATGAAATAAAGAAGGCAATGCAGGATATGAAAGAGGAATTCAATTGACATGGAAATCCTAAAAAAGCAAATTGTAGTCTTATGAGATCTCAATAGGTCAAACTAAAAAGAAGAAAAACTCCATTGAAAGTTTGATGAATAGAAAACAGGATGTCAGATAAATGAGAGGTATTAGAGCAATCATTTAGATATTGAAAAATCACTAAGAAAATAGATGGATTTACAAGACTGTAGGATACAATCTCAATACTAAACCTATAAATCATGGGAGGGAGGAGGGGAGAAGGGGGAGGGGGAAGAGGAGGAAGAAAGGGGGAGAGGAAAGGGAAGGGAAGGAGAAGGGAAAGGAGGAAGAGGAGACACAGACTGAAGGCATAGATAACCTACTGAAGAAAATAATAGCAGAAAACTTCCCCAACCTTGGAAAGAGAGGGTCATCGAAGTAGAGGTTTATAGAACACAAAACAGGAAAGATCAGAGAAGAAACACCCCTATATTGTAGTTAAAAGATCAAATACAAAGATCAATGAATACTGAAAGCTTCACTTTGTAAAGATATGGCTTGGTGGTAGAGAGCCAACCTCACAAGTATGAGGCCTTTAGTTTAAACCCCAATACCACCAAAAGAAAGGAAAGGAGGGAGGGATGGAGGAAGGGAGGGTAAGGAGGGAGAGGAAGGACAGAACAAAAGAACAAAAAGAAAGGTGGAGACCAGGATTTCACCAGGCTAAGGTAAACATCTAAGGAAGCCTAATAAAGGCAGAAAAGAGCAATGGATAAAAACAAGTTATCACGTTCCTGTAAGGAAGAACAGGGCTGCTTTTTTCCCCACTCACCATAAAGGGTCATGGCTAATACCCCCATGATAAAGGATAAGTCAGCAAGAGAAATGCATAACAAATTGTTTATTTTTGGTTCTAGGAGTAGAGTTCAGGTCTTCACACATGCTAAGGATGTAGCTAGACTGCATCCCAGTTCTCATTATAAATTTATTGAAGTACATAAGTATAGGGATCTTAAAAATACCAATTCCAAGGGAGTCCCATCTGGTTGGCACCTAAATGGTCTTCGTAGGGGAAAGGTAAGTGGAGTCTATAGGCAAAAGTCAAGCATGAGTTCTTGATGTGAATCAACTCAGAACACGCAGTGACCTCTCTGGGTCTGGTGTATGCTATAAATCTTCCTCTGTGACATGTTAAGTCCTTCTTGGCTAGGGAAAGAAGACTGAAGATAACTGTGCTCTTCTTTGGTGGCATAGTCTTTGTGCCTGGAAGGAAACATCATGGAACGCCTGTCTCTGTGCTTTGGAAGAGAGAGGATCAAAGAGAGATCAGAGATTCTTTGGTTATGAGAATGTTTTTCTAGTTCAGAATATCAAAGTGCCACACATTGGAATCCCCTCCCCTTCCTTCCTTCTTTTTTTGGTGGTACTGAGATTAGAACTGAACTCATGCTTATAGGGCAGGTACTCTACTGTCGCGACCGCCTCGACCCGCAAGGATGACGCGACAACAGGTCCTTCTTTCAGACGGTTTATTCAGGACCTTATTTACAGCTTCTTTTCTCCTACTTCTCTCCTGCCCGCTTCTTCCTTCTTCTTCCTGCTTCTCCTCCCCATCCGCCCCCGCGCTCCCGGTATAAGCCTCCTGGATGGCCAATCCTGAAGCGCCATGTGGCATATACCGATAGGGCTGCAAACACGGAAGCAAACTAGGAGCCAAGTCATAGCCATATAAGGAGTTGTTTTTTACAGAGAGCACTCATCACCAGGAAGACGGAAGGCGGGAGCCCGCGCCATCTTAGGTCGCAGCGGCACCACGCGGCCCTGCCATTTTTGCTTTTGCAGCCGTCTTTGGTCGCGGCTCCCGCAGCTCTCCACACTCTACCACTTGAGCCACTACACCAGCCTGTTTTTGCACTTGTTATTTTTGGCTAGGGTATCACTTTATATCCAGGCTACTACTGCAGCTTTCTATCTGTGCTTCCCAGAGTCACAGGGATGACAGGCACAAGGCACTGTGCCTAGTCATTAAGCTTCTTCACTAATGTGACATTGGTTGAAATGGAGTCTTGTGAACTTTTCTGTTGAGATAAGGCATTGACATTCCATCCCCAGATCTTCGCCTCCAAGTAGTTAGGATTGGAGGACTGTAGGTTTCCTAACAAGTACTTGCAGAAGGCATCTGCATGGACAATATTAAAACAATAATCCACCCAAAGTCCAGTAGTGTTCTGTCAGAAGTTTAGATTTGTGCTGGGCACTGGTGGCTCATGCCTGTTATCCTAGTTACTCAGGAGGCTGAGATCTGAGGATTGCAGTTCAAAGCCAACCTGGACAGGAAAGTCTGTGAGACTCTTATCTCCAATTAACCACCAGAAGATCAGAAGTGGTGCTGTGGTTCAAGTGGTAGAGCACTCGCCTTGAGCTGAAGGGCTCAGGGACAGTGTTCAGGACCACAGTTCAAGCCCCATGAATGACAAAAAAAAAAGTAGTTTAGATATGCAATCTTCAGTGGTAAAATTAGCAATTTGTCAATAAGCATGTAACTTTTTTCCAAAATTATGTATTTCTTTATAAATAAACATTACAATATGAACTATAGAAAATGCCAAGGTTCCAAATATTCTGCTTCTGAAGGATACCTTGGGCTCTCCTTTAAAGCATTCAGTTTAATCACAGGGCTTTAAGAACATCTTTGCTTTTCTTGGTTTTATGTTTCCATTTTCATGTTCTTCATAATTGGTATGATCCCACTTCTTGGTGATTTTTTTCCAACTGTGTTCACCAAGGTTTCATATCTTCTGGTCATTTCTTCATCGGACACATCAAATTGTTCCATCTTCCTCTTCCTCTTCTGCTTTGTTCTTAGCATTCATCTGATGCATTAATTTCTCAACTTCAGGATTAAATCCTCTGAATGACCTTCTTCCATACAGAAGATCTTCATGTGACAAGAAACTCTGCTATTCTAATATGAAACCCTCTCTTTAAGCTCTGGCAAATCCAAATACGAGTGTTCTTCACTAATGATCTTTTCTTCCTCTTCTAGTTGTTTCTTGGTTTCTGAATCCAATCCCCTTCACATGAACTTCATGTGCAGCAGGTTCTTGGACAATTTGGTCTTGTGTTTGGACACCATGCTGGCTCTAGATCCAACTACAAACCCCCAGCAAGCATATGACTTTTTAATGTACTATATTGTGAGATTATGGGTTTTCATTTCTTATTTTTAAAAATTACAAGGTTGGCTGGGAAGGTGGCTTAGTGGTAGAGTGCTTGCCTAGCATGCATGAAGCCCTGGGTTCGATTCTTCAGTACCACATAAACAGAAAAAGCCAGAAGTGGCACTGTGGCTCAAAGTGATGAGTGCTAGCCTTGAGCAAAAAGCTCAGGGACATGGGCTGGGAAGTTGGCTCAGTGGTAGAGCGCTTGCCTTGCATGCCTGAGGCCCTGGGTTCGATTCCTCAGCACCACATAAGCAAAGAGAAAAAAAGCCGGAAGTGGCACTGTGGCTCAAGTGGTAGAGCGCTAGCCTTGAGCTGAAGAGCTGAGGGATAGCACTCAGGCCCAGAGTTCAGGCCCCACAACCGGACCCCCCCCCAAAAAAAAAAAGCTCAGGGACAGTGCCCAGGACCTGAGTTCAAGACCCAGAACTGACAAAAAAAATTAAACTAAAAAATAAAAATTACAAGGTATTTCACCAAGGTGTTCCATCTGACAAGGCTTTACCTATGGTTTATCAGGTTAAACAGACTTAACAAGCATTAGTATATTGAAGTGCAATTCTCTGCTACCCCCTTTTTTTCCTTTTAGCTCAATATGAGTGCTCTACCACTTGAGCCACAGTGTCACTTCTGGTTTTCTGGTGGTTAATTGGAGCTAAGAGTCTCATGGACTTTCCTGCCCAGGCTGGCTTTGAGCTGGAATCCTCAGATCTCAACCTCCTGAGTAGTTAGAATTACATGTGTGAGCCACAGGCACCAGCCTTGATTTTTTTTTTTTTTGGTTGGTTGTAGAGCTTGAATTCAGGGCATGGATGCTATCCTTGAGCTTTTTCAATCAAGGATAGCACTCTACCACTTTGAGCCACAGAACTACTTACAGTTTTTTAGTTGTTAGTTGGAGGTAGAGTCTCACAGACTGGGCTGGCTTTGAACCAGAATCCTGAGATCTCATTCTCCTGAGTAGCTAGGATTACAGGCATGAGCCACTGGCCCCCAGCTACCCTTGAATTTTTTATGTAGCTGGGTCTGCTTCTTATAAAAGTTTGGTTTTCTGGAAGCAAATATTGGTTTTCAAATGTTTGCATTACCATACTGCTAATAATGTGGGCTTTGTGTGTCATAATATAAAAACCACAGCAATAGAGCATATTGCCATAGGACCTTTAAAAGATGTGGCCCAGTATGCTGGCCTGTTGCCATGTTCTTCAGCTTGTACGTTATGTAACTGCTGCTCTTTTCTGACTGTGTAAGTTAGAATGTGCTTGGCTATGTGTACAAGGAAACATGACAGACAGTGGTTTTAAATGAGGAATTTTCCATTTTACTTAATAAAAAGTCCAACAACTAGCAATCACTGGTATGCCTGGAAACTCACGCAGTGAAGTCAGCTGTGGTCCAGGGACTTTCCAACCTTGAGTCAGCATTCTCGGCAGCCTGATTTGATTTTCCAATATCATGTAATCCTAGGGTTCAGTGGCTCTTGTGGCCAAGAATCACAGCCTTCCTAAGTCTACTAAGAGGCAATAAGGCAGGCCTGGCAGGGCATAGCAGCATACACCTATAATCCTAGCATTCAGAAAGTAGGCAGTAGGGTTGTGAGTTTGAGGCCAGACTGTATACCTCTCATCTATCAGAAAGGGAAGTCTTCCTCAGCATCCTAGAGAGGCTTCTTGTGGTCCCAGCCAGAGCTGTTCACCTGAGCAACAGATTGAGCAACACTATTTGGTAAAGATGATACTCACGGGCTGGGAAGGTGGCTCAGTGGTAGAGCGCTTGCCTTGCATGCCTGAGGCCCTAGGTTTGATTCCTCAGCACCACATAAGAAAAAAGCTGGAAGTGGCGCTGTGGCTCAAGTGGTAGAGCGCTAGCCTTGAGCTGAAGAGCTGAGGGACAGTGCCCAGGCCCAGAGTTCAGGCCCCACTACCGGACCCAAAAAAAAAAAAAAAAAAGATGATACTCACCCTAACTTTAGGTTTTAATCCTCCTCCTTTCCTTCTCACTTTCCTTTCTCTTCTCTCCTTCTCTCTTTCTGCCTGTCTGTCTCTCTCTCTTTCTTGTAGTGGGGCTTGGTTTAAACTCAGGACCTTAAGCTCCTGCTTGATTTCTTGCTCAAGGTTGGTGCTCTACTCCTTGAACCTTACCCTTAAAGGTTCTTATCAGGGCCATAGCCATAGTGTTAGAAATAGGGAGAGCAGCATCAGTGGTCACATGAAGAGGAACATAGGGGGTGATGCTGGCACCTGGTAGGCTGGGCTAACAAAGGCAATTGAAAAAAAGAAGTACTTTTAGACTCATAAAAAAAGATTTCTTTTTGGCTGGGAAGGTGGCTCAGTGGTAGAGTGCTTGCCTTGTGTGTATAAGGCCTTGGGTTCAATTCCTCAGCACCACATAAGCAGAAAAAATTGGAAGTGGTGCTGTGGCTCCAGTGGTAGAGTGTTAGCCTTGAGCAGAAGAGCTAAGGGATAGTGCCCAGGCCCAGAGTTCAGGCCCCACGACCCCCCCAAAAAAATACTCTTTTTGACATAGAAGACTCATTTTGTCTGCCTCAAATCCCAATATCATGCTTGACAAGAAACATTGTTTTAGCTAGGTATGGTGGCTGTACCTGTAAACTTTTTTTTTTGGGGGGGTCCAGTCGTGGGGCCTGAACTCTGGGCCTGGACACTGTCCCTCAGCTCTTCAGCTCCAGGCAAGCGCTCTACCACTTGAGCCACAGTGCCACTTCTGGCTTTTTCTGCATATGTGGTGCTGAGGAATTGAACCCAGGGCTTCATGCATGCAAGGCAAGCACTCTACCACTGAGCCACCTTCCCAGCCCCATTTTTTTTTTTTCCGCACCTGTAATCTTAAAATCTGGAGGCTGAGTTTGAATCTAGCCTGGGTAACACAGCAAACTTGTGAAGGGAGAAGAGGGAGAGAGGGGAGGAGAAAGGGAAGTAGGGAGGGAGGGAGGAGAGCTGGCTCATACTAGTGGGTAATTCGCCCCCTTGTCTGAAGATAGTAGGACCCAAAATCAAGGCGCTGTCAGCCAGAACATGGCTCCCAGCAGGGCACTGCACAGTCCCCCGGCTCAGGTGGGAGGAGCGGCAAGGCCCAGCTGCTCTCACCCCACTTTCAGAACTGAGACATTTGTTGCTTAGGTCACTCAGTCCATGGTACTTCGTTGAGGCAGCTAGATGAGCTAAATGCTTCCTATTCATATCTTACGGATTCTTAAATCAATGTAGAAAGAATTTAAGTTATAGGACAAATATTAAAGACCGATTTATTTTACATAAGTGTAACTTAACAGTGGGTGAAAGTTATGACAGGAATTCCATTACACTTGATACCTTATTTGAAATGATATGTTGAAGCTGACTGGATATTGATTCTAAGATATTGCAGTAGGCTTCACCCGCTATTCAATCCATATTTATTGCTTATAGACTTACAAAGTTTTTCTGTAATACTTTTGTTAGTATTGGTAGGTTTGATTAGGACACTTTCCCCGGTATTTTCTGGAAGTTAGAGGTTATTCTATGAAGCTTGAAGCTTTGGCTCAGATGACCGACCACCAGATGGCTCCACTACAAGATGTGCTCTCTTCACAATGACAAAAAAGCCCCAAACATAAAAGATCGAAGTCCATTTTGTTGCTTGTTTGATGAATTCTGAAATGCACACCTGGGTAACCAGGATACAGAGCGTATCCATTTCTCCCCCAAAGTTCTCTTATTTTCCTTTGTCTCTTCCTCTCCTAGCCAACTTCTACTCTGAAATCTACCCGGAGGATGTTTTGTCTTTTCTCCTAAATCCTGTTGGTGTGCCCAACCAAAATATTACTCTGTGTTCAAGCACAAAATCACTCATCTCCCCTAAGAGTAGAAACAGTTAATTCTCCAAAAAGTCCTGAATATTTTTAGCAGGAAATGTAATTTAGGAAACTAAGATGTGGATACTGGGTGCTCATTTCTACTAGGGGACCAAACTCCTGCGTTATCTGGAACAGTTCTCACCTGAAAGTCCAGTACCCCTGGAAAACCCTTCCATTTCTGGCAAGCAGGGACAGCTGTTCACCGTCACTTCTAAGCCCTTCAGTACACAGAACTTGGACATTAAAAAAGGTTTTATTTTTCAAACAGCATATTTTAATTGTACAAAATGAGTTTCATTATGACTGGTTGTGTATGTGTTGGCACTAGTCTTGAACTCAAGGCTTTGTACTTTTGTGTGGCTTTTCACTCAAAGCTGATGCTCTAGCACTTGAGCCTTACCTCCACTTCTGGGTTTTTATGGACTTTTCCCAGTCTAGCTTTGAATCCTGAATACCTGCCTGAGTAACTAGGATTACAGATGATGTAAGCCACTAGCACCTGGTTTGTCTATTTGTTTTTGCTGGTCCTGGGGCTTGTACTCAGGGCCTGGGCACTAGAGCCACAGCGCCACTTCTGGCTTTTTCAAAGTAGTTTATTGGAGATATTTCATGGGTTTTTCTGGCTTCGAACTGCAATCCTCAAAATTCAGCCTCCTGAGTAGCTAGGATTAAAGGTGTATGCCACTGGCACCCAGCAACATGTCATTTTCATAGATGCATATAATATGCTTTGATCATACTCTTTCGTTATCCTCTCTTGCCCCTTATCCAGGCATTTTAGGACACTTAATCTTTAAAATCATGTGTCCATGGCAAAGCACTTGTCTAGCATATAAATGGACCCAGATTCAATCCTCAGCACTTAAAAAAATATTTACAAATTATAATTATAAACCAAGCCATCAGTGGCTCCCAACCATAACTAACTACTCGGACCTTCAAGATCAGTCTGAGTCCAGCCCAGGCAAAAAAAGTTTGCTAGAGAGCCTGACAGAAACAATAGTAGTGCAGCTCAAGTGGTAGGCTTTAGCAAACACAAGGGCCAGCGTTCAAACCCCAGCATATTGCTTAAAAAAAAAAAATCATATGTGGGCTGGGAATGTGGCTCAGTGCTACAGTGCTTGCCTAGCATGCATTAAGTCCCACGTTCGATTCCTCAGTACCACATAAACTGAAAAAGTTGGAAGTGGCACTGTTGCTCAAGTGGTAAAGTGCTGGCCTTGAGCAAAAGCTCAGGGACAATGCCCAGGCCCTCAGTTCAAGCCCCAGGACAAGCAAAAGAAAAAAATCACATGTCCCAATTAATATTTTGAATTTAATTTTTTTTATTTTTTTTTCCCGTTGAACTTCTGTGGTCTTTTATGTATCTAATTTTTTATTGTTTATTGGCAAGTCTTTATTTTTTTTAATTTAATTTTTTTTTGTGAACATACTGTACAGAGGGGTTACAATTACATGGGCAGGATAATGCATACATTTCTTACCAAGCATTATTGGCAAGTCTTTATACAAAATAACATTAAAATACTTGTGCTACAATGTAAACATAGCAATAATATTACTATATCACTGGTTTAAACACTTGAGTTGAAACCAATTTGACTTAAGAGTTGATATGTTTCAACTGGCTTTCCACTCTGGGGCTTGTTTCCTTTTCAGTAAATAAAACCTTAAATTTAGACAAGTCTTGCTTTCATTCTCTCTCTCCCTTCTCTTGGGAGCCAACTATATTAAATTTCTACATCCTTCCAATCTTCTCCCAGTGTACATGTTATCTACTTCAGCACCGTGCTTTATTCACTTAATCAAGGACTCTTTCCAAAGCAATACATAATTATTTTCTTCATTGGGTGTCTATATCTAAAAAGCTGCCAGGACGCCAGTGGCTCACACCTATGGAGGCTGAGATTTGAGGATCATGGTTCAAAGCCAGCCTGGGCAGAAAAGTCCTATCTCCAGTCTAATCTCCAGTTAACCACCAGAAAACTGGAATTGGCATTGTAGCTCAAGTGATAGAGCACTTGCCTTGAGCTGCAGAACTGAGGGACAGTGCCCAGGCCCAGAGTTCAAGCCCCACGACGGACAAAGGAAAAAAAAAACTTTTTACACTTTTGGGGCTATTTCCACACTTTTGTTGTGACAGCACTTCAAGGAGTAACCTTGTTTTACATACACTCCATTTGTGGCGGTGCATCTTCGGTACAAGGCGAAGCTTAAAGGAGAAATCGCAAGGTATCATTCTGTGACACCACAGGGATTCAACAGCCTTCCATTCCGAGAGGGCAACGTAATTTCAGTGTGCATTTCCACGGTAGGCGGGGCTCAGCATCCTTTCCTTTTCTGTTTGGCCGGTTGTGGGGCTTGAACTCAGGGCCTGGGTGCTGTCACTGCGCTCTTCAGGTCAAGGTGAGCGCTCTACCCCTTGAGCCACAGCGCCACTTCCGGGTTTCTGGTGGTTTATTGGAGATAGGAGTCTCACGGACTTTCCTGCCCGGGCTGGCTTTGAACCGCGATCCTCGGATCTCAGCCTCCTGAGTAGCTAGGATGACAGTGAGCCACGGGCGCCCGGCCAAGCATCCTTTCTTCATTACGGACCCGCGCTTTCTCCTTCTGAGGCTGCTTCCCATCCTCCCCTTCGGCACCTTTCCTCTCCGACCTCTCCGGTGAGCCCGTTACACACTCACTTTGCACCGCGATTCCTCACCTCGAATCCCAGCCCGGTCGGTCGCCGCCCTCCAGTTCCGGAGCCGCCGGGTAGGAAGGACCACCCGCCCAGAGCGCTCCGGCCCGGCCCGGCCCCGCGCGGGACGACGACCGCCGTCTCTAGCTTCGGGCGGACAGTTCGACTCACAGAAGAGACTAAACCCTCGCCACGGCGAGCTGCGGCGACGCAGCGCCCCCCTCCAGCGGGGCGAGCCC